CTACCACAACATGATTGGCCACCTACTCATGTGCTCAGTGTTACTACTGGAGGTAAATACGGAAAAATAAGATATTAACACATTCTAAAGGCAACCAATTATAACCTCTCTGGGATGGAGTACATTTATGCCTGTTACACTTCACCTGCAGGATAGTTGTGTCTGTAAGCAGCTGAATTTCCAGCAATTCAGACAAACTGGCCACAATATCACACACTTTGTTGTAGAGCATCACAATTACTCTCTGCTTATGCGTTGAGCACTTGGCGCGTTTAGCTTTTGAACTCATTAGTCCTCCTGCAAACAAACATATCAAGAGGGACATTCAGAACAGTACCACTAAAAACTTTAAATAAGCAACTTAAGCCCAAGCATTTACTACTTTATCTCTACCTTAAACTAAAATGGATTCATAAAAATTATTCTTAAACTTCAGATACAATAGATGCAGATATAAAATATATATTTTGTATAAATGTCCAATACTAACAAAGACACTAGAAAGAGAGAAAGACACTAGAAAGAGAGAAAGACACTAGAAAGAGAGAAAGACACTAGAAAGAGAGAAAGACACTAGAAAGAGAGAAAGACACTAGAAAGAGAGAAAGACACTAGAAAGAGAGAAAGACACTAGAAAGAGAGAAAGACACTAGAAAGAGAGAAAGACACTAGAAAGAGAGAAAGACACTAAAAATAGAGAAAGACACTAGAAATAGAGAAAGACACTAGAAATAGAGAAAGACACTAGAAATAGAGAAAAAGACACCAGAAAGATAAAAAATGGCAATTCTGTAAAGTGATCTTGTGGCTAAGTGAAAAAAACAAAACAAAGGCGAATATTTAAATAAGAAAAAGCTGTAATACTAACCAACTCCCCAGAGGGCGCCAAGTTAAATCACACCCTTGAAGAGCTCCAGGTGCCACTACTATCGGACAGTTCTGGGCATGTCAGATACAGGCTGTCCACTAACCACTGTTGTTCCATCTGCAAGCTGCTATGTCATTATTGTGTCCTGTAATGGTGCACTGGCCGGTGGGATGACCCAGAGAGGGACTTGTTAATAGGCACACCTAGAAGTGTTGGATAGCAGTGGCTCCCAGAACTAAGATTTAACTCACCACTTGACCAAGAGGTAAGTATTCAACATTACAAACATCTTACAACTTCTTTGAAGGTCAAGTATGAACATAATACTGCCATAAAGATCAACAAATCTGGCACCTTCATTTCTAACTTTAAATCTGAATACATCTGTTGTGAGGGAAGTTTACATAAAATTTAGTATAACTAATCTAAGTGGATATTTAAAATAACCACCCAATAAGGAGTATTGTAAAACAGCGGCTCACCTCCATGAGGATCCACCCTATAGACAGGATCGTATTGTGGATATAGCGTGTTCTGTAGGTGGAACTTAGTGTACTGGAGAACACGCTCTATCACATCCTCGATATACACTGCCTTAGGCATACTTGGAGATGTCATGATGTTGATGGCTGTTAAGCAGGAATCAGCTGACTTTGTGACTCTCTCCATAATCAGATCCCGCCACAGTTTCTCTTCATCTTCTGTGTCATTGTTCTACGAGTCAAAAAAACCCCACAGAAAATGTGAGATAATTAAAACAAAAGTAGTTTTCTTCTTTTCCACTTCAATTTGTAATAATGTCAGGACATAATATTAAGTGTTCTTTTCAAATTATAAGAAAACAAGTCAACAGGAAAAAAAACAAAAAACTATAGATCTCCCTCCATGAAGCATTGAATTGGGACAATCTTATAATTTACTTATAACTAGAAATATTACACTTAACCTATAAGCAGATAACTATACTACTATTCTTTAAGAAAAAATAAAATTAAGAAATAGCAATTATCATTAAACACATTATTTTAACTGATCAAACTAAAGTGTTCCCAAAAGAACAAAATATCAGACATTCAAATGTTTTAAATATTTAAGGAAAGCTTAAATGTGACCGGTCACTATAGTCAACATTAAAATCAGGTCCACAGAAAGGATCTGACCCTTGATCCACATTTTTTTCACATGCAGTGAATATACACTATAATATAATTTTAACTACACTATAGTTCTATTTGAGACAACGTTATGCATGTATACATACAATGAAACACAATTCATACTTTATATATGCTTGTAGTATGAGTGAGAATCAAAAAGTAAAGGCAGCTTATAAATTACGCAGTAACCAGGACAGAAGCTTACACAATGCAGCATATTTACATAGCCTGTTGGATAGTTCAACCATGCGCAGTACAGCGCTCAGACTAGTCGAGTGGTAGAAACATGGGCGCTCCGTTGAGAGATTGCACCATCGAAGAACATGCCATAGTGCTCATGCTTTGGGCAGTGGGAGGTAAACTAGTGGATATTTGCATTTGCCATAGTACATGATGACTTGGGATACAGGAAAGTCTGTGCACGATGGGTTCCCAAACCGCTTACTGCTCTGCAAAGCAACTGCGTGTGGAGGTTGCGACCCAGTCCTTGAGACGATATGAAAAAGTTTGCAGTATCCTTGAGAGAACGGTCACAGGGGACAAGACGGGTGCTCCCCCATGACCAGGAGAGCAAAAGAAAGGAGGCACTCCATAGTGGCAGGTTCACATCAGATGAAGGAAATGGTACACACCTGGCTTCAGCAGAAGCTGAAAAGCTTCTTCTCTGCAGGAATACAGAAGCTAGGTGAATGATACGACAAGTGCATCATCTTGCACGGGGACTATATGGAAGAGTGATATGTACAAGTGCTCACAGTTACGTCCATTAAAGTTATCAACATTTATTTTGCCTTTGCTTTTTGATTCTCCCTCGTATTACTTCACAGCTGTGCCTACATTTGCTGGAATAAGTCAGTCAAGCCTTGTGTGCTACCAGGTTACAGTTAATGGTACTCTGTGCAGACTATAGGAGCTTTATCAAGAGCTAATTTACCATTATTACAGCGATTACACTTACATGGTTCAGCATAGATGACAGCTTTGAACCATCCTGGATATTCTTCTCGAGAATTCCCAGTAATTTGACCAGTTTTTCAGAAGAGATCTGTCAGAATGATAAAAATACAAAGTGTTACAACACAAAACTCTGGGGTAACAAATGTATAGCAAATAAGTAACTTATGTGGTCTAACTTTACCTTATTCATGATGCCCATAGCTTTAATTTTAGCAGATTCACTGCCCAGTTCATTGAGCTGATGTTTGCCTAGAAGAAGATCTGCTGGGATCTCCTCATCATCTCCTGTAATAAGAGGCAACAGAGACATGTTACACAATGCAGCCCTGTTAACAGACCCTAACTAGAAATACTGGCTCCTCTGTGGGTTTCCTTCCCATGCTATTGTGCCTGTGTCTGTCACCCAATATCAAGTGCCATTAGAGAGAAAATAATTGTTACCGATGACTTAGTAGCATTAGGAAATTGTTTCGGAAGCACACAAATTATGCACACACTAGATCATACCAAATGTTGTGAAATCCATATCTTCCAAGTTCTCCAAAATATTTTCTACTGCTGATGAAAATCTCTTAAAGGTTGAGGAATCCATCATTTCTGAAAGACGCAAAAGAAAAAAAAATTATAAACTGCACTGGGAAACATCTGTCACCTCGCCACATTACGTTTGTAAATCAGTTTTCGCTTTTTGGTTTTTAAAACATTCCAGCCCCATTATGTTGCAGCAGCACATCTCGGACCTTGTAAAGACAATTTTTTATCTGGCACAACACAAGCTATGCAAACATTTCCAGCTCAAAAAACTATTTCTCAGTTGAATCGGTCACACAGAACCAAAATCTTATGAAAAGCCTTTTGAAAAAAACCTAGCGTTCCATTTCTATATCTTTACCTTCAGGTGTCAGCTTGGGCTCATAAGCTTTCCTCTTTTTCTGCCGTTCTTTCTTCTTTATCTTCCGAGCCACTAAAAGGAAAATAACAACAGGATTATTACTATTATATTCTGGTCTGCTTTCAATATTATACCTCTAAAATCTATTACATCTATTTCTGGTAATGTTACAAGAAAACGGCCAATACTTTTCATTCAACTGTATGTACAGCAAAAACTTTTTTTGATTTTTTTTAACCAGTTTTGGATAGAGTTGGGAAGGATTAAAAACCCTGTCAGTTCATTTTTTTGTCATGTGCACACCATTGTGGAAATCCCAGCTTCACTTTCTGTCCCAGAGCATCAACAGGTATTGCCTTTTTAGACAGTTGTCCCAGGAACAGGTATCTCCATTAGAAGATTATCCCTTACCTTTCATTCTGGGGATAAATCCATTGTGTACACGACTTTGTTTCAATGACAATAGTCATCAGGACAAACAGAGTAGTAAATCTCCCCAATGGAAACACAGACAATTAAAAAAAAAAAAAAAAAACTTGACAGTCTAACCCCTCTCCCTTGGGCCCCGATATCGCGCAAATGCTTGCATTGAGCAAGCGAGAATCGCGGCAAAATCCGCTCCAAAAAGGGTCCTGCTGTAGCGACACACGACCCGCGACAGCAGGACCCTTTGCCCCATTGAGATGCATTGAAGAGCGATATCGCGCGGTAAATAGCTGCGATATCGTGGGAATTACCACGCGATAAATCGCTCAATGTGAACGGGGCCTTAGACCATTTAAAAAGAAAAAAAGAAAAGCTACACTTTGTTACAATGGATTCATTTGCACCCCACCATTGGTTACACAGTGGTAAAAAGGGGTGTTTCATCTCAGTGAACACCACACAGAAAACAAGCATGCAATCTTGCCTTCGCTTAGACTTGGAGGTGGTGGAGAGTCGTCCATGTCAGAATCTTCTGGACTGCGTTCTCTGTAGCGAGTACTGCGCCTGTCGTTACCTCCGCGCCTATGATCACCAGAACTTCTCCTTTCACGTTCTTCGAATTTCCATTCCTGGTCTGCTTTTTCTTTTTTGTGTCTTTTTTTAGAGGCTGAAACAATAGAAAACAGTATTTTATACATGCAGTGGATGTTAGAAACAAGACACAATAAGTGTATTTCTCAAAGCTAAAACACCAGGTTAAATATACTCAGCCAAGTCCAATGAGATTTGAAAAATACAATCACATGACCGAATCAGAGAGCCGCATCTTTGTGTTAAAGTTTTGTAAACCTATTGCACAATTATAATTTTTAGGCTAAGCTAATAAAGCAGCATCAACAGTAAGTATGATATACAAAGCAACACCACACCAGCCAGATTTTACCTAAAGCCCAACTCCAGCCTTTTTTTTCTTTTTATGACAGAGTGGGTAAAGGTTAAAAATACTCTCCAGTTTTATGCTGGCTTGTGGCCTCAATGGAGAGATGTATACCCTATTCTTGTGTCTAGGACAGGGGTAGGCAACCTTGGCTCTCCAGCTGTGCTGAGACTACAAATACCATAAGGCATTGCAAGCCACAGGCACGACTCCCAGAGGGACAGGGACATAGATACCAATAAAAACCTGACAATGGCTCCAACCTCTGTCCACTTTATTCAAATGAAAATAAAGAGGAAGGTATTTAACAAAAAGGTAATGGTTGTCTAAGCAAAATAAATATTTCTGATTGTAGGGCAAAAACTGCCGGCAATGAGGTGTCCCGCAAGGAATGACAGAAAGGGTTGTAAGAAGTAACTATAGGTTCCATCATGTTGCATACAGCTCTTTTACAAATTTACTACGCTTATAACAATATTTTTATTATACAGGATTAATATAGCGCCAGCAGTTTGCGCAGCGCTTTAATTCAAAATGAGTATTTCATTATATTTAATTCAAACCGAGTACATCTTTCTAAGGAACTGTGAACGTGATCTGCTAAAAAACGATCTGCATTAAATGTAGCCACAAGTAAAAAAGTATCTTCATGTCAGCAAAAAAAACAATACAGATCAATTGCCATTAAAGAAAAATGGAGATGGCCTTTGCAGAAATCTCCTTCGGAAAATGCTAGCTGACTGTTTAGATGTTACTAAGGCTTGAACATTTTAAGCCACCGGCTCAGAATAGGGTGCAGGGAATTACTTCTAAGTTTACGCTTACTTGCCAGGTCAGTGACTGAAGTATTAAAGCCAACCAGTGGGTTAAAGTGACATTATTATGAGGACCAGACTTGATTTAAATGCTTTTTATTTCTTCTTTAAACATTTTAGTTACCTCATTCTCTAGTTGTCCCCAAATCGCTAGCCCACCCTCTCTCCCTTTGTGCGAGTGTCTCCATCAGCTAGCCGCCTGCTGAGGAGACATCCATGCGTGTTCCATTCCCGCAGCTCACTATATGTGTCCATAGACTCTGCACACACCGCAAGCCATGTCCCCCGCTCCCACAGTCACACTTTGACCTATGGCTCTTCTGCCTTCAGTACCCTTCCCCAGGAAGTTCAGGGAAAGCAGAGAATCTTCCCGGTCCCGGTGGAGGAGACAACTGACAGCACGTGTGTGTGTGTGTGTGTGTGTGCGCGATTGGGGGTTACAGAAAGGTACTGGGCGGTTTTGATCTTAATGCAGAGAATGTACTCTCTGCAGGTAAAAAAGCACCTAGCCTTTAGTAATACTGTAATATAACAACCAGGTGACTAGTATTATAAGGCCAGCAAAGATGAGATAAATATTATCAATACACATTAAGGACCTGTAAGTGGCCACTCCTCTTAGAAGTCACTAATAAGTAGGGAGGAATACAATCTAGTGATACAATAGAAGATAACCTGCTTTACTGTCCAGGACAGATGTGAGTTTAGACATGGGGCTTTTTAAAGGTATCATTAGCAGAAGTAAACAAGGTCACTGTTTTTTCATAGCCAATGCAACAACATAAATATGCCTTCCCACAAGTTTATAGTTCTTCTTAGGATTTATAGGAAGGCAGCTGAATACTCACGTTCAAATTCTTCTTCGCTTGCATTGTCTTCCTCAGAGCTAATTTCTGCATATTTCGGCTTCTCATTTACAGTGCTGCGTTTGCGTTTGTTCATTTTTACACGTTCACAGAGTGGCATCGATGACTCGATTTCTGCTACCAATTCAGGAGGAAGTTCCTTAAGGACAGACTGATCAATGCCCCCTACAAAATGAAAGGAGAGGCGACATTATTCAATCACATAATACTGATACAAGAGGTCGTTTATATGATACATAAATGCTGCCTGAGAAAAGCTTCTTATTTTTATTCAACAGGTGAATTATTTTCTATAAACTTTACTACAATTACAATTAATTATATAGCGCCAACATATTCTGCAGCGCTGTACAATCATTTAGGGCCAGTTCACACCATATGCAGTTGTAATGCAGTCCGTTTATTTGACTGCTGCAGTCAAAATACATCACAATGCTTTCCTATGGGCTTTCTTGTGCTTAATCCACACCATTGCAGTGTGAATTAGGCACAAGAAAGCCCATAGGAAAGCATTGTGATGTATTTTAACTGCAGCAGTCAAATAAACGGACTGCATCACAACTGCGTATGGTGTGAACTGGCCCTTAGACAAGTAAAAAACACTGACAAGCATCATTAGCATACAGAAACAGTAGGTGAGGAGGACCCTGCCCAAACGATCTTACAGTCTAAGAGCCCACCAATTAGTTCTATACCAGAAATGTAATGTCATTGGAAGGTCAGCCCCATAATCATATCAATACACAGGTATTACTCTGACCATACACTACTTGAATTTCTGCCGAGTGCTGCTGTCAGCAACATTATATTCTAACAAGTAGCTTTTTGAGTCGAGTTTTGATGAAGGAGCCGGGCTGAAAATTGCCAGCCTAAACAGTGATAGATTAGTGGTTAGTGAATTAGAAAATAGTGAAGTCAGCATGTATAACACAGGGCTATGGGCTCTGCACTACATGTGGTGATGTCCTCATGCCTCCGACCACTGGAGCGTAAGGGGGCAGGCTGTGGGTGCTGGGCCCTGGAGTCTGCAGGAGCTGGGATTAGGCAAGTAAAGTCCTTGAGGGCCTGTTCACACCATCTCTGTGCACGGTACCGCAAATGCTGTGCGTTGCAGTGCGGCCAATCACACTGTGGGCAGGAGGGTGTGTTTGGGGTGCCATTCAAACGAATGGGATGCAACACACCTCCCACACTAACGCACAGAGATAGTGTGAACGAGCCCTTACCCAGGTAACCTAAACAAGAAGTTCAGCAGCAGCCCCGCTGCTTGGTGTTCTGTGATTGGATGGGGTTGCAGATTGGGATGTCTATTTATCCTTCCTCCATTCACAGAACACCATGCAGTGGGGCTGCTGCTGCTGAACCGCTTGTTTAGGTCTAGGGTACCTGGGTAAGGGCCCGTTCACAACATCTCTGTGCACAGTACCGCAAATACTGTGCGTTGCCGTGCGGCCGATCACACTGTGGGCAGGAGGTTGTGTTTGCATGTCACTCATTTTAATAGCACCCCAACACCCCTCCCACACTGTACCGCACAGAGGTAGCGCAAACGGGCCCTTACCCAGGTACCCTAGACCTAAACAAGCGCTTCAGCAGCAGCCCCACTGCATGGTGTTCTGTGATTGGATAGGGGGCAGATTGGAATGTCTATTCATGCTTCCTCCATTCACAGAACACCTTACATTCTGTGAAAAAGAATACAAAATACTTCTGAATGGATGAGGTAGAATGCCAGTGCCCTGCTGTCGACTTTCTAATACTCAGAGAGGGCGATTTATCAAAACTGGAGCCGACAAAATCTGCAGCAGTTGCCCATGGCAACCAATCAGCTTCCCTGTTTAGTTTGCTCAGTTAAGGTTTGAAAATAAAAGAGAGAAGTTGATTGTTTGCCATGCACAGCTGCTCCAGAAATGATAAATTCTCTTCAGAATGTGTAAACTTGACATTTGACCACTAGGAGTTCCCCTATGTGTCCCTGGGTGTGAAAGGAATTCCCTATCAGAATCAGTCCCCCGCAGCTCTACATTCCACATTCAGAATGTGTCTATGAAACCATACGTTTTCTGTATAACTGTATTCTCTCACAAAGTTACTGCACCGGGTAGACGGACCATTATGTGAGGAGAGGTTATACATCCTCCACACGGGCGGGGGGCGCTCTACATGAAGAAAGCTCTTCCCTCATCTTGCCAGTATCAGATCCCCAAAACTAGGAGGAGGATGGGCAGGACATCACTACTCTCCCGACTCCATCACTCCCATAAAAATGACTCCCTTAGGGTCACCTTACACATTACAATCTGACTTTAGGTGTATAAAGTCGATGTAGGCCCTAATCTATCCAATTTGTATCTAGCCCGGCCGGTCCTGGCACTGCATCGTTGTTGGTAGCTGCAAGGGAAATTGTACAATCAGATTGTAATGTGTGTGTGATTATAGTGTTGTCACAGATAAAAGGAGACGTGCACTTCTCCTCAATTGTTCTTCAGCATCTGAAAGGAAACCTGTCCTGAAACATATGGAGACTGCCACTACTAGGCTGAAAATGCTCCTTTCCTGGCCGTCGCACAAATCTAATGTCCCCAACACTTTACACGTTCCTGGCTTAGATGGTAGAAGAATGATCATCTGGGCGTTTACTGAAACCTGAACTGGCTGCGGCAGGTTTCTCCCGGATCAGAAGACATCGAAGCCAAGGTCAGCCAGGCAAATAGCATTTTAGAAAACAGGTCAGCAATAGCAGGCCAATAGATTTATCTACACCACAGGTCTTCTTTACAAATATAAAGAGGGAAAGCATGCCAACACATGTCTGTGAAGGTTCTCATTCATCCCGGTCATGGTATATCTGTAAAACATAAGTCAAGGCAACTGGACTTGCTGTATTTTTCTTGAAGACGTTTCACTGGTCATCCAACCAGCTTTCTCAATTCAGAATGACTTGTACAAAAATTATCTGGGAATAAATATGGTGAATGTTGCTCTAATCCACATATTGCATATTCGGAGTCTAGGTGGTGTTATTAACCAGCCCCCCACCTCTACTCAAGCTTGGCTTCTCCATTTTTACATAAATGGCCTCTGTCACACCTCTATTAAACCAGTCCTCCTCCCTTTCTAGGATACGTACTTGACTGTCTTCAAATGAATTACCTTTTTCCTTTAGATGTAGGTATAATGCCAAATCCTGACCAGAGGGTTTGGCTCTCCTATGCTGTGCCATACGCTGGTGTAGCTGCTGTTTTGTTTCACCGACATACAATTCTGAGCACTCCTCACTGCACTGGACTGCATACACAATGTTGTTCATCTTGTGTTTTGGCGTTGGGTCTTTTGGGTGAACCAGTTGTTGCCTCAGTGTATTGCTGGGTTTATTTATGCAAATGCAATCAACACCTGATTGCGATTAACAGATTATGTGGATTGGAGCAACATTGCTCCACAAGCAAACATGTGGGTCCCGAGGTTACACAGGTTGAGAACCACTGTTCTAGCACATACGGTGCATGTTGGGAAATGCATGTTAGCATATCTGTAAAAAAAATAAGTCAAGGCAACTGGACTTGCTGTATTTTTCTTGAAGACGTTTCATTGGTCATCCAACCAGTTTTATTAATTCAGAAAGACTTGTACAAAAATTATCTGGGAATAAATATGGTCAATGTTGCTCCAATCCACATAATTCGGGGACTGAGAGGAGATCAAAGGGAGTTCGTGTACTGAACTCACTTTGATCTCCTGTCACAGAGCCGTGACGCTCGATCGCATGCTAGAACATAGAATGAGACAGAATACCATTAGGGCCTGTTCACACGTCAGTTTTCTGTGCTGACCTGATCCATACGCTCCTGCACTAAAAATGCATCCCAATGTATCCCTATGTGTTTTATGGGCTACAGTTCTCACGTGCGCAGTCCGTTCAGGTTACGACAGAAAAATACTGCATGTCACATTTTGTACGGTCAGGAAACGCAAAACGCATCAAAAACGCACTGCACTGCAGCTAATATACTGACAGCCCCCAAATTTTTTTTATTTTTTTTTATGGAATCCATCCAAAACACAGCAAAAACGCACAGCACTGCTGATCCGCACCTGATCCGGGCCTGGAACTCATGTGAACAGGCCCTTAAACTACAGAATCCAGAGTTTACAGAGCCACCAGGCAAGTAGATAACACCGGCCAGCCAGAACCAGGCCATCAGGCAAATGACCAATCAGGACATTAATATAAAGCATGTTCATTATATTATAGCTGTGCACAGTGATCACAAGTTCATTAAAGTGACACTATACGCAGGAGTTCAATCTTACAAATACATTTTAACTATTTAAAGGAGACAATGTGACAATGAGACCGTCACAGGTCGGCTTAGTAGATCGGGAGGTGAGCGAACACATACCGGCGCTCGCTCACTTCTCGATCCTGTCACGGCTCTCTGCCGTGACAAAGGAGGGGATGGATTCCCCGTTCCGATCCGCCAGCGCTGACTGGCGGAACGGACGGGAGAGGGGGCGGGTACATCTGGCTCTGCCTCTAGATAGGCAGAGCCAGCTGTCACTTATTCAGCTGAGCGGATCCCGGCACAATTGTCAGGATCCGCTGCGGCATCTCAGTATACAGCTCGCCGTATACTGAGCCTAGGGTGACGGGAGGACGCTAGTTTGTGTCCTCCCGTTACCCTAAGGAGAACTATGGGGAAAAGCCTTAACCCCATAGTTCTCCTTTAACAATGGGGGGAATTTATCATAGCAATTGCGTCAGTTTTAGCCTATTAGATAATTTTTTTTTTTTTAAATGTGCAAATCTGTTTAGTCGCTCCTTTAACCATGTGCACCTATTTTGAACAGAGCTTGCACTATTTTTCCAATTGCACGTATTTTGCGAAAGTTCGCAACGGTTTACATCTGCACTTGTCCTGCGGCTGCCCGAAACTGGAGCATCACCTAACAAAACAATCACAACTTAAGAAGCCCCCGTGACCACTTCAAGAAGCGACAGTTAAGCTTTTTGCCTGAAGTTACGAGTCTTCTATCCTGGAGTCTATTAAACCTCGTTTATGAACATTACACAAGCAACATCAATGTGGTGCAAAGTGCATCAAATATATTCCGTGCAAGTTCAAACACTCGCAATTGCCATGATAAATTCTCCCCGAGGTATC